CTGTTATAGTTAAGTTGGCTGAAATAACATGAAACAAAGATAAACAATATTTACTCAGAAAATAAACTTGACCACATAAACTTCATATAGATCATGATTAACAATAAGATAGTGTATATGTTTAATCAGTCGTTATGACAACTAATATGGATTCTGCCTTTGCACTTATACATTATCTACCCTACCTGTAATCTTTCTCCTTTTCATTTAATTTTTAGAAATAATTTGCCGAAAGGAATTTCATAGAAGTTGTTAAAGTGTACTGCCCATAACAGTACCCATAAATAAAAGAAATTACCAAATGATAGATACATTTTCATGTCTGAAAAAAAGAAAGTATCTGCTGATTTCTAAAGAGAGGGAGAGACAATTAGGAGCTGGGATTTTTCTTTTAAATTTCCATTTGCACTTTCACTTACACTTTTAATTTCCCTTTAGTAAAGATGCTCTTAGCCTGTTACACAATGATACACCTTGATACATTTTCTAGTACTGACATCTCCACTTATTGAACTATACGACATAAAAAATAAAAAAATAAAATGGATACTAACCCACTCAACTGATCGGAAGCTGTATGAGAACTTCTGGTTAACTGCTGCTGTGCTGTGCTGACACAAGTTTTCTGCATCAACGTTCAGTTAGAATGTGTGAAATTACCATCTCTTAATTTCCTGTCCTGTGGGTTTTGCGCAAAGGTCTATGCAGGCATCAATCTGCCACCTGTTCGTACGCAACAATAGCTCTGAACAGGTCTCATTATTGGCATGTACGCAACATACAAGTCTTGCATTTGTCCACTCAAGAACACTGCGAACTGTGAGGGGCAAGTCTACTTCCCACTACAAAAACTACAATACTGTAGTCTTTCCTGTGAAATCGGGAATTGTGAGTTTCGTAGCAATTACCGAAAAAAAACATTGCCTTGCAGTAAATGAGGCTCATCTGATCTATTAATCTAGTTGTATTATTTAGGGCATGACTGACAAACGTGTTTGAATTTTTGCCTGCTGTTAATGCACGTCTCCTTAGGCTACAACCTTTAATGACAAGCAAGCCAAAATAATAAAGGGCAAAATGTTTTCAAACTAATTTACAACAGTTTCACTAATAATGCCTATAGTTTAATAAAACAATGAAACCCGGTTTGTCAATAAAGAATCCCTTAGCAACTAGTTATGTAGTAAACTCCGACTCTAAATAATTTTTATTAAACCTGCAGCACTTTCATTGTGACAGGTCCTGGAAGATAACAATATTGTGGAGAGTGAACAGTAGCAAAACAATAAGAGTGAAAACCATTAATCCAAAAATCCAACTGATTTTTAATAACTAGGATACAATTAATAATATATTCGAGTTTAAGTCTTAAAGATATCGCCATTCTGGTTTTGTTTTAATTGCCTTAAATTACATTAGTTGAGCTGAAGGGCGACTTCCTTTAACATTACCCAGCATGCCCCTTGCTCTCTCTCTTCTTCCGTGCCTTCTGTAGAGAGGGCACGTAATCTGACGGTGAGTTGGGAAAATCTATTATCATCTTTTATATATTGCACTTAATTAATCTACAATGGACATTTTATTTTAGTAAAACCTTTAGTGTTTTTAAGATTGTGTGTATTTTTTATTTTGTACTGATATATGTATGAAATAATAGACTTACTTGACAGATCTGACTGGCCCGGTGAATACGTGTACGTCACTTGAGCGCTGTGCACGTTTTATTTTGTGAGGCTAAAATCGTTTTGGCTTAGCGTGCGTATAGTGGTTAAGAAATCCCCCTGAATGCAATAAATACGTGTTTTAATATTTAAACTGAGTTAGTTTGACCCCGTAGTGTGGATAACTGAGCCCAGTCCTAGAACACCGGGTTTTGTGTAATGTTAGGAAGTACAGCGATTTATTGAATGAACACGATTTATATTTAAGTGTGAGTTATATTACACGACTTCTATTTCAAACAGTTTACAAAGGCGTTATATGAAATAAATATTTGCCTCTTTAAATGCACTGCATGTTGATGTGCATTTCGAGTTGTTCGGCCTACGTTTTGATAGTCAAAGTCAATAAGTGGAGATTTCAAAAGCATGATGACTTTAAATTCTGGAAGTCTTTGCTTAAACATTACTTTATAGTATTATGGCCTTTTGGGTTTTATTTAGCTACTAAAGGTAATGTGACGGTATGTGGAATCTGCTGTTTGTTTTGTGGCTAAGGTAGGCCTCAATCCTGTTAGTCTTCAGAATTCTTTAGAAAATGGATGCTTAAACATTCCTTTAGTTTGTGAAGACAATAGGAAACAAAATAACTGGTACAGTTAGCAGTATGAGCTTCCATCTGTTAATTTACCTGCCAGACTTTGCATTAACATTGGCTCTGTCCCTAGGTAAGCACGATGGCAGCCCTACGACCTTTAGTGAAGCCGAAAATTGTAAAGAAGCGAACCAAGAAGTTCATCCGCCATCAGTCAGACCGTTATGTCAAGATCAAGGTAAGCTTGTCAAATTAATTTTAAGTATTTGCAATGCTGCTCTATAAATGATTCCTTCTGAATAAATCAAATTTGGAACTTAATTCCACAGAAGTGTAAAGAGAGCTCCATACAACTATCCATTTACTACATGTTAAGTAACTTGTTTAAAATGTGGCACAAGACACGAACAGTGCTCCTTAAAATCTATGTAAATGCACTGTCTTAAAATTAGAAATATTAGTAGTCCAGGGAAACATAAAGCTTATTGTCTTGCTTGTTCATCCATCTTGCTGTGTCCAGTTAAATCTTGTGATTTAATGTGTTTTTGACCATTAAACATCTTGAAAACTGCTGAACAGTCACAGTCATCATGCTCTCCGGGTTTGTTATCTTGTGTCAATGTGATTAATAAAATAGACCGAATTGAGGAGCATTGCAGGAAAATGTTTTGTGTTGAGAAGTTTGTTTTACTTGTTTAGACCTCTAGAAATATTTCAAAGATTTTCTTAAAGATTGTAGTTTACCCCCTTCAAATCTACTCTGCTGGTTGATCATTAAGACAAGATTCTGCTTTGTGCTCTGTGAATGTTTTTTTGTCAAATATATGCTCACAAACTTAAATCGCTACACAGAACATGGTCCAGGTTTTTTCTAGCTATGTGATATTGTATTGTGGGGTTGACTACATCAGTTCTTGTAGAGCAGGAATAAATAATGCAAAACTATTAGGGACTCATAACGTAACAGCCACAAAACATTTAAGGTTTCGGTTCTGCTAAGAATTTACTTGTTTGCAGTTTGTTTAAGGCTGATGGCTGCAAAGCATCTGAAGAAATCTGCATTTAATACAGAACAACTTTCAGGTTCAGAGATATTTGAATCCAAGTATCTAGACATGTTTTCTGGAAAATATTGGAGAGCCCAGCCACAGAAGACTTTCACTCGAATGACCAATTTTTTTAATCCTATCTCCTAGAAAAACTGGCGCAAACCCAGAGGTATTGACAACAGGGTTCGTAGGCGATTCAAGGGCCAGATCCTGATGCCAAATATTGGTTATGGAAGCAACAAAAAGACAAAACACATGCTGCCATCTGGGTTTAGGAAGTTTCTGGTCCACAATGTCAAGGAGTTGGAAGTACTCATGATGAGCAACAAGTAAGGAGTTATTCTTGTATCATGGATATGTGCCAATCATATCCGTTTGTTGGCAAATACATGATACTGGTCTATTAAACAATTGCTTTAAATATGCTTTTTATATTATTTGGTTAAAGATAAGATTTAATTCAAATAGTTCTGCATATAATAACGCTTTATTAACTGGACTTGAAAATCCATTTTAAATCAATGTGTTTGGAAATTATAGGCTTACCTGTATCTTATGGTTCAGCTAGACAGTGCTTAATTGTTTTTAAATTGGGAGTGAATGTGTGTAGCTTTGCCTCCTTGATCGTCCCTCAGAGTCAGCGATACTCTTCAGGTTCAGAACGAGGAGGCAGAACACTGCAGTGCGAATACCCATTCCATCTCTTGCTTCTGTCATAGCTAGAAGATGGAAGATAGCCTGCAACAAGTGTTCCTTAATACAGTCTTTTTTTTTTTTAGAAAAGGTGTGTGTAGTTTGGTTTGATGCAATGTTTACATAAGTTAACATGACATTCTACTAAAAATGTAACAATTTAACTGGAATCTGTAAATATTCTATTATTTTTACATTAATTACATTTTAGAAGTTTGGTGCTTCACTGCTGTGTATGCACAAAATACTACATTGGTTGAAGTACAAGATGTTTCAAAGTGGAGGTTAACACAATACTTCCGTCACTTTTTTTTCTGTAGGACTCACTGTGCAGAGATTGCCCACAACGTTTCCTCAAAGAACAGGAAGATCATCGTGGAGAGAGCGGCGCAGCTTGCCATCAAGGTCACCAATCCTAACGCCAGACTACGCAGCGAAGAGAACGAGTAAATTGGGACATTATGCACTATCAACAGTGTCGTTTAAATAAAAAAATAAAACTTTGATTGCTTTTTTCTCCCTTCTTTTGAAAGGTCTGGTTTACTGTATATGCATAAATTTATTGGTGTGGTGGTGCTACAACGAAGACCACCTGGGGGGAAGTCTTTAGAAGTTGTATACAGTATTTGCAGCCTTTGTTTTATAGCTGATGCCAGTTCAGTTATGGCAGATATAATGGGTTTGGTATTTTTTCTTTACTTTTCTACTTGCCCAGTTCCCAGCATGTGCTTTTTAGATGTTCGTTTAATTATGAACATATACTAAAGGACTGTAAAAGGTAGGCCTTACTGACCACATAGTTGCTAGATGCTTCACATATAGGAGGACAGCATGTATTAAGTACCTTTATGACAGCATCCGTACTTTAATGCAGAGTAGAAATTGTAGTCTTGATGTGTCTGAAGAGGTCATGTACTGTTTACTTGTGCTTTGGTTGTAATAGGTCTCAACATTTCAGGTGAATGGTAAGATATAAAAATGTTGTTCTCTAGAAAACTGAAGGGTAACTTAAGGAATATAAGAATAAGTGGTCTATAATTTTAATCCAAATAGGTGTATGTTCATGAATACTGAATTAACTACCAATAGAAACCTAATTGCCATGCATTGTGTTAACTATAACAGATAACTTTTTTTGTTGAAACTAGGTTTGAACTGGTGTGAAATCAGTTCAGGGCTATTGAGTTTTTAATTCAAAATGGTAAAACTAAACATTAGATGCATGTAACTGCATAGTGATGTCATGCTTAGGATGTTGGTAAACAATATGGAACTTTTGGAATCACATTTGGCCTTTGTATGGATCTAGTAGCCTTTTCTGGAATATAAGAAAATCTGAACACAAGGTGACTTGATTCACAAGTACTACATATTTGCAGTAAGACAAGGCTTATCTGCCAGTGTTTCTCTAATTTTCTAGCTAGTTTTATGACTGATCTGAGTTGGGCACTGGAATACTGAATCAGTACAGCAATGAAAACGTATGGGTATTGGAATCTTTTAATAAAATAGAAACTTTTTTACATGATAATATGCTACATATTCTTTTTGATTACCATCCCTGCCTGCTGCTCATAAGAAAAATACATGGGCAATGTATTTTCAGAATACATAAAACAAAAGGCTGTCAACATGTTTTTAATAGAATGTTTATTTGAATTATTTTTCAATGCATTCATAACTTGCTGTCTGTTATATCAAGTATTTTATTCATTAGCTGAATATAAAGTCCATTAATAAAACCATGCTCAATAGGTCTGTAATGCTTTTGCAATGTGGGCTTATACTGTACTTTTAATCTACATGATTATTGAGAGAGACATTAGTGGCATATTAATATTGTGCTTCACAAACATTTAAATATAGATATAAAATTAAAGCCATTTTCCTCAATCTAGTTTTTCTAACCTAATCTTTTATCTTAGAAGTTTGGAAGTTAAAAGGGTCTCCGTTTCAGGGGTGTGTGGCTCTTCTTGTTTTAGTCAATCTTTTTGTTTAGTTTGGTAAGGAAATATGTTTGCTGAATAACTAGGTAAAGTATTCTATTTTAAAAGAGAGTTAAACTTCCTGAAAACATTTTTTCCTCTCTGGACTTAAAAACTTTTTGCAATTCCTTTTTATTTTTATACTTGAGAACAGCCTGGGTTTGGTACAATGATCTCTAGCTGGTATCCATTGTTTCTGTAACACTGGAGGCGGTGGTGTCTCTCTGGATGCTCTCGAATATGGAGGCCATCTCGGAGCTGGCTCTGATCTGGGCAGTGAACTCTGCCATGACGGGACTCTTCTCCACTTCATGAATGGTGAGGAGGGCCGCCACAGCCCGCATCGCTGACCGCTTCAGCTCATCCTGTTTCTCAAACTCCTGCTTCACAGAGCCGGACTTCACCTGCACCAAAACCAACACACAGACTGCCCTCATACAGTCGTCTGCTGACACCTAGTTCTAGTGACTATTTCAAACTCGGCAAGGAAAACTAGCGTCAAATGACACAAATGAAAAGTACATATTTTGTACAGGATGTTCATTTATACAAAGAGCTCAGAATAACTGGAATGAACCAGGATACATTTTAGTATTATGCAGACATTTTTCTAAAGCATACTCAGGAAGACTTAAGAGAAAACAACTGTTACTTTGCTTAATTCCAAGAAGCAGACAAGTCATTAATTGCCATAAATACTTTTAATACTTTCTTTTATAAATGAAAAACATCTCAAACAGCAAGTTTAAATGTTTTATGATATTGGAGCTAGTAATTGAGCTCTTGAAGGAAGCAGTCCTGATTTATAACTCAGTTGAGGAGTACTGAATTTCTGAACACTAATAGTCTAAGTCAAACTTTCTATCCACGAATACCCTTATGTTTTAAAAATAGCTTTGAAATGTTCTCCCGTTAAGTTTGGTTAAATAACCAAAAGGCTAGGGTCCTTTGTTGTCAGAACTTACCATTTTTATTGTTTAATTTGTCTTTGCTTTTAAAATCTGCACCTATACTCTATGGCCATACCTTAGCAGTGCAGGTGGCTCTCAAAGGCTCCACCAGTCTGTCCAGTCTTTGCATGACAGCACTGGGACACAGGGTGCAGAGCCTGGTTAGCATGATGAAGGTCAGCATCTGAAGAAAAGAAGGACAAAATCATCATAGCTTCTTCAATGTTGTTTAGGACATTGTCAGTGATCTGGTTAAGTATGAAAGGTCCATATGTCACATGAAAGCAAAACATCAAAATGAAAACAAATACACAAAACTAATAGTCTTTCAACTGGTTTTAATAATTATTTAATTTATGGCAAAACATTCACCTATTGTTAATTTTGATATGATTATACAGAAGCTAGTTGGGAGAAAAAGTCTGTTTTCTCTATTTAGCACCTAGTTCCAAACCTGTAGTATTTTAAAACTCATTTCTAAGTTCTCCAATCATGTATAATTACCGATATAAAAAAGTCTAGTGAGTTTTGTAAGAAGACATTATTGAAACACCTGAACAAAATTATATTCAATCTTTTTATTGACAAAATGGCACCGATATTAGAGGTTCTGTTCATCATAATTGTAAACATTTCACCATGGAAATGCAGCACATTTCTTTTGAGGTGCAGAAAGTCTCCTGTCTCTAGTGCTTAAAATATTTTTGAGCACATTGAGTTAAATGAGGGGCTGCTTATTTTATGATACAAAGTATATATATACACTATATAGAACTCACTTTAAAATTCGTTAAGATTTTTTATGGATTTAGTTTTTCCTGTTCAGAGGATTAGTGTGCCATCCACTAAAAATGCTGTCCTTTAAAAGAGTCTTTATTGAATAGCTGATGAGCTGGATGTCATTTTTTTCCAGTTGATTCTATTACAACTATAACACTATAGCGTGGTTGTGTTTTAACCTACAAATGCAAAACCCGTCCTGTTATACCCTGATATCATAATGATCCTTCAGGCCATCTTCCACATGGTTGAGGAATTCAAAGATGTCCAGGCAGTCCAAGCAGCTGTCCAACAATGTGTACATGCACTCAAAGGCTGCTTTCCTCACATCAAGCCCATCGTCCACAGTGTGTTTGAATGGACCCATCTCCACCTAAGACACAGAGCCAAACAGTAAGGGTTAAATCTGGCAGCTGCAGGATTTAGAGGTCACTAAAACATTTGAACTATAAAGATATGGTAACTGTGGTTATTTATTAACAGCCTTTCCTAGTGGTCCTGTTAACACCTACAGTGCAGCAGGGACACTTAAATCCTGGGAGTTTAAATCCAATTCCAGTGGAAGTCTGTGATGCATCCAGCTCCTTAAATGTACAGTGCAACCAAATCAAGTCTCAGGCAAGCACATCATTAATCATACAGGATGGGGCAATCAGGCTAAAATCCTTCAACAGAATGGGTCAGGAGGTTTGCTCATTCCTGTATCGATTAGTCCATTCCTGTACCTCCCGAATGAGGTCTTTCCTGGTCTGGGTTTCGTGGTACAGGTGGGGAAGCACAGCACCCAAGAGGTTACGAATTAAGGAGGGTTTGTTGTGAGCTGCAGAGTTGAACATCACTAAGGCCACACGTCGGACATTCAGATCAGGGTCTTGCAGGGTCTTCAGAAAATCACCTGAGAGCAAATGAAATATTTGAGTAAACCCATTTTGCAAAACATCCTCCCATCTGGTGTTAATGATGTGTTCAACTGCTGTTTCTTAATTTACTTTTTATTTGCAGGAGATGAAGATTTTATTATTACACTGTTTTGGCTAATTAAATATATCTTTTTACAATTTTTAGACATTTAACCCTCTTTGGAAACCAGATAAATGAGTGAGGTTTTAATTTGGTTCAGACAAACGTACCGATGCAGTCCATCAAAAGCGAATCTATGGGAAGTGGGTTATCCACAATGGTAAACTTTATTGCAGTGACTACAGTGCTCCGAGCATGTGGTGAACCTGAAACATTGAGAAGGAAAAACAAAGCCTGTGATTCACTGAATGCAGGTCCTCTTTTTTTAAAAACAATAAGACTGATTGCTAATATATAAACATGACAGGAGACTTTTGGATTTGGAAAAAGTTTTAAACCCCACATATACTATATATTTAGATGTATACTGTACCTTAATTATCTACTGCAGAGGAATCCTCTTCCTATATTGTATGTGTAGAAGTTCTAAAGTTAACTGTTAGCCCAAAGCAAAGATTTCCTTTATCCTTTGGATAAAGCATATTTGTCATATTTTGTCAATCAATAAGCCTTGACTTACAGATCAATGTGCTGTAAACATTTAATGAAATTTGGAAAATAGGACCCCAATTCAGGTCCTTACGATTTTCAGTTCTGCTGAGATCCCTTGAATGAAAACCTTAACTGAACTTTTAATTGAGAATTGAATTAATTATTGCATACTATAATTATTGCCATTTTCTTTAATTATTGTACATTTCCAGCTTCTAAACAGTATTAGTAAAACATTTTACTCCCAAGTTGCTCCCAAGATTTGATCATTACATGGAAATAATAATACAATAGGTCTAATTAATCAAATTACTAGTTCAGTTTTATGGTCAGTGAGCTAATGAAAACCTTATTTGGAATGAAAACCAGAAGATACCAGGGCCTCAAGGCCAGTATTTGGGAGCTCTTCCATAACTGCAGACTATTAAAGTTAAGCTAAAGTTTTATCTTGGTTTTAATCAACCAACCCCAGATTACATAGCTAGATAAATCACACAAAATAGTATCTCGTACCTGAGGACAGCTGTCTTTTCAGCCGGGGAAGTAACTGGGAGGGGTTGACGAGGGTCAGTTTTCCAAGGCACTCCGCAACTACATTGCGTGTTCCTTCCTCAGCGCACTCACAGTGCTTAAAAAGAAGGGCCCAGATTTCCTCCACATAGGGCTTCAAGCTGTTGGCCGAGGATGAACTGATGACGTCTTTCAAAGAATGCAGCAGGAGGTACTGCCTCTTTGGTTGGCTTCCGATTTCTTTCAGCATGAAGGGAAGGTATTCGTTCAGGTTCCCCACGCAAACGTTGCCTAAAGCATAGGAGGCAGATGATTTGACTTCCTCATTTGAGGAAGAAAAGGCCTCCAGGATGACAGTTTTTAGCTCTTTTTGCCCTCCGAGGTTCATAGTGCGTCCCACCTCTGCCAGACAAAGAAAAGCCAGGATTTTCACCGAATCAGATGTCTTTGTGCTCTTAACATCTTGGATGAAGTTACCAACCATGCCCGTGGCCTCCTTGGGGCATGTTGAGCAGAGGGCTGCCACACATTTAGCAACAGAGTAGTAGGATTGCCTGTGCATGACAGCGTGCACATCACTTTGTTGAGGACCATAGAAAGGGCCTGTTAGCTCCTTCATAAGTTCATTGAAACCCATGTTGCTTGTTTTGGTCACAACTAACACTTGAAAGAAATCAAGAATGGCATTGAGGGCCCCACCTTGCAGTAAAGGAGAATGTACCAAATAGAAAACTTCGGACAAAACAGAGCCACCAATTTTGAAGAGAGAGGAAGGACAGACCTTTGCCAAGGAGGTAAGAAGCGTAATGGCCACTTGCGAAATGTGCATATCACTCTCTCCAATCAAAGGTGGAAGCTCATTCAAGATGGACTGTATCATGGCAGGCTTGAGACTGTCATTGTAGTTTTTAATGATTAGGTCCAAAGCCATCAAAGTGCTTAGTTTCAAGGCACGTTGATTCTTTCTCAAAAAAGAAGCCAAGATGGGAATCGCTTCAACTAAAATGGGTCTCAGATTAATTTTCAAAGGGGAAGCTGCAATTATGGTAAGCATCTTCACCACAGTCAATCTAGTTATCTCATTTTTGAGTCGTTCAAGAAAGATCTGAAGAGTGGGCTGGAGGTCATCTTCTAGTTGGTCTCCAAGGTTGCACACCAGCTGTCCCATGCAAGAGATGGCTCTTTCCTTGACCTCTTGGTCAATATCTGTCGCTTTCAGTCTCTTTAAAGTGCTGGAAAACAAGTCTTTCACATAGGGCTTGGCGTCAAAAGTGGAGGGTTTTTCCAAAGGCCGGATGACTTTCACAAGCTGCTGAGTCACCAGAAGAGCCTCGGATGTGATCTTGTAAAAGGGATCGCCGATGCAGGCAACCACTGGAGGGAGGATGAGCTTGATATGAGAATGAAAAACCTCAGGAGGATGAGTACCAAGGAGAACATTGAGGAAGGACAGAGCATCAATTTTCATGTTGGAGGAACTGGACTTGTCAGTCAGTGAATACATAATCCCTGCAAAAATAATACAGAAAAAAATCTGAAGTTTTTAATTTAGCAACATTTTGTTTCATTTAATTTGGACACCCAAATTAATAAATCTAAAAAAATAAAGCCAGCAAGCGACAGATTTTTTAAACTAAAAATAGTATGAGGAAATATAATCTAAGTTTCATATTTTATATGACAGAATTACATTTGTATTTAAAAATTCATGTATACAGTAAATAATTCAAATGTTAATACATGTATAAACCATGTAGAATATCCTAAGGAAATTATTACTGTTAAATGTCAAGCAGCAACTTCAGGTGACACACTCAGATTAGATGCAAAAAGTTAATTAAGGTCATGTTTGATAGAAAATGAAAATGTGACACTCTTATATCTAGACATTATGCAATGGTGTTATTAAGGTGGTAACCTTAACTGAATTGCTAGGAATAACATATTTATGTTATATATATTATATATCAGTATGTATATTAAAATAGTCAGAGCAAAACCCCCTTCCTTACCAGGGATCAGAGATGGAATATGGTCACCCAAAGCTCCGGGTAATGCATTTGCCAGTTCTGTAAGCAGATTGAAGCAGCCTTGTCTGGACTTGATACTTTTTTCTTTCAGTTGTTTGTGTAAGGCCTTCACAATGTTTGGAACCTAGAAGAAAACTGCCAGCTTTGAATTGGATTTTCCGCGGACTAAATAACAGCTGTGTGGCAGGACCCAATTTCTGAAACCTAAACAGGTGGCGGAAAGAGGAGTCTATAAGACCTTCCTGTTGTCATTGTAGACTCTAAGGATGCTTTTGAATGCAATGGGCAAGTAAAGGAAACATGAATGTTTTTTAAATAAAGATGAGTGTTAGTACTTTGTAGTAACCCATCTGCTCTGGGTTGCACAGTGTCAGAGGATTAAAAACTCCATGTGAAACTTTAATTGGAAGGCTAACTCAAAACACAGGCCAAACCAAACCTTGACACTATTCAAAATAAAAAACAAAACCTAACCTTACGAATAGACCGAAGCTAAAATGTCATCCTACAAAAACCCAAAATGATACAGCCCACCTAACCTTTGTAACTTTCTCCTTACTGTGGCATAAACATAATCCAAGAGCAGCATTTACTGTAAATGTAATCCAAATTTTTAAATAAGACCTGTCCTATATCAGATTTGGACGATGCTACTTATGAGTGGAGGTTTATAAAAGAGGAGTTCATTTTTTCAGTGACACAAAGGTCTAGCTAAATCTCAAGACGTGAAGAAATCCAAACGAGAACAAAATTGTTCTCACCATCAAGCCTCGCTGGGACCAGGTGTTTCTAAACATTTTAAAAGGGTGCCATATGTACAGGAAGTGTCATTTAAGGTTATTATAAAGGGCCAATATGTATGGTAAAAGGTCCTTCCCAGTCTTAAAGCAAGGCTCTCCTGACCTGTTTCTTCAGTATAGCCAGAGAGGGATCCTCCTTGCCTCCGGGGTCAGATCCCTGCAGCCAGCCCTGCAGGGGCCGGGCCTGCTTCAGAAGGGAGATGTAGGCCTGGAAGATATCGCTCTTGACGTTCTCCTCGCGCTCCTTGAAGCGGGCCACCAGGGCTGGGGACACAGTCCGGTAAAGCTCCTGCAGCATGTCGTGACGCGTGCTCACCACCGCCTCCAGACACTTCACCGAGGAGCGCCGCACTTTCCAGCTCATGTCGTCGTCGTCGCTGTACTCTTCGTCTGTCCCTAAGGAACAAAGTGCGTTATTTTTTTTTTTCAATTCTTCCCGTCCTAAAGGGCGGGTTTCCGCGTTTCCTTGCTTTGTTACTCTGTATTGGGGGTCCTTAAGATTCCTCCTTGATTTCTTGATTTTTCCTAAAGGAGAACTGATTGATTCACACAAGTCATCCAGACCTCAGCTGTATTGAAAACCAGGAGACGCTCTGCCGTCTCCAGGAACAGGGACATGGACCTTTCCTCTATATAATCTTCCCTTTAATAATTTCTTAAAGAGTCTCAAAACCACAACATTGTCATTTCTTTTTTGCTTAATTAACATAATCAGGGAGCTGAAGTTATTTGTCATCCCTTTGAGAATATTTAGAGGTACTGTAGGTAGGTAGGTCCCTTTTCAGGCCATCAGGGCCCATGGGAAATGGGGGGCAGGGGCCACCATTTTTCTTGACCATCCGACACTGGAGGTGGAAGTGAGGTGGTCAGCATCACGCTCCAGCCAGCCTATTACCCCCAGAAGGATTAATCCCTCTGTACTCATTTGGAAAGCAGGCTGAGTGGACCTGGGAGCCCTCTAGAAGGAATTATAGCAAGTTACATTGCTTGCCTGTACCTGGGATTGAACCCGGGACCTTCCAGGTAGGAGCTAGATGCCCTGTCTGAGCTACCACACCTTCATATTTAGAGGTATTGTATATGTAAAAAATACTTAACCTCATTATTCTTTGAACCCAATGTATGAATGTACCATTAGACAGGTAATGCAAAAGTAAAAGAATAAAAAACAACAATGAATTTATGCTTCATCAAAATATCACAGTCCTTTTATGTTTGTTAGCTTAGGGAGTCACACTGTACATTTTTTTAAAATAAGATTGTCATGATGAATCCAAGCAATACAGCACCTTGATCTTCATCTTCCCCATTTTCAGTATCCATTGACTCGTCCTCTTCCTCATCGTTGTCATAGTTGTAGTTGGGGTCATAGGTGATGTACTTGAGACACAGTTTGATGATGGTTGGGATATGGGGAGACACTTCCTTTGGGCACCTTTATAACGGGATATGAAATATTGGTTATATTACAAATGAACATGAAGACAGAGTATAGAGCTCTGACTCTAAAATGCATAGCCCAACATAGAGAAAAGACCAATGTGAGAAAACATGAACAGTATGTTTTTGCTGTGTTGTTTGCTACCGAAGCATTGACAGTTGGCTACAGTACATTGCATTACCTTCGGACAAATGCCTCAAAGGCCTGGAAGCAATACTCTCTCAGTTCATCATCCTCCACATTACAGTACTTCACCACGGCTGGGATTAGTTTCTCGAGGTGTTCCCCTGAAACACATAGACAGCACTTGAGTGGGGCTCATACTGTCCCTGTAAAACATGGACAGTTATCCTTGTATATGATACATTGATTGGCAATGTTATCCTCACTTCAACTCCCCAGTACTTTCAAACACAAACTACAGCAGCAAATAACGGTGACACAGGACTAAAATGGCATTTAATTCCAACACATGTCAAGCACTATAACAGTTCCTAAATCAAAAATGTTTTGATATAGTACGGTACAGTATTGTATAGACTTCAGTAGGTAAGTGAAGCCCATTATATATTTCCACTGAAGAATCATGAACAAGGACAAGAAAGTAGTTATAGCAATTGGCAACCCAGTTTGTATTTTATCACACTAAGAAAGTATGTAATAAGGCATATAAAATGCACATGAGGAAATTGCTTACAGAAAATAGCAAGGCCAATAATTATGTGATCTAAAAGTGGCTGAATTAAAGAATAATGGGGAGTTGTTGTCTAGCTTTGGCAACATGTCCCATCACTGAATGTTAAATTTTATCATTTAGTTTTGATTGTGTAAACACAAAGTAGCCTTAAGAAGCAATAAGGAATTAAGAACTGCCATTAAACTTTAGATTCTTTACTACTGAAACCAGCTATGTACTCCAATTCAGATATTTCTGTACCAGGTGATATCTCAATACAATGTTTCCTCATTTGTTTAGTTTGTTTTATTAGCAAGGAGAAAATGAAAACATTCGTAATTATACAACTTATTATTATTATTTTAAGAATCTTTGTTTCTGTCCCTTTTTTTACCACTGACTAGTAGGAACTATTATATGTACACATTTTATACATATATTTGTATATAGAGCTTATCAGATTTCATTAAAACATTTCAGATCCAGATCTGTTAAAAGACAAGTGGTTTAACAAAAAATAAAAACCTGAATTGGAAGAACTTATTTACTCTTAAGAGACGCTGTCTTACCCACTCTGTGGCCGGCCTGCCTGCTGATGGCAGCCACACACTGGATGTAGGTACGTGTGGTGGAGGTGGAGGCGTTTCGGGTGAGCTCGGCCAGCAGGTGATCCATGAGCTGGGTGAAGACAGGACTGCTGCAGCTGGGGACCAGGTGGCTGAGAGCAATGATGCCCCGCTTCCTCACTGCCAGGCGGGGGCTGGTGAGCTGGGGCAGCAGGCTGCTCAGAATGGAAGGGTGGAAGATCATGAGGGTCCCACTCAGCCTGTGGGCAGAAAGGATATAAGAGATGAATATGGGGTCAGGAATTGACAATGTCCCCCGAGACGTCCAGGGTCCAGTGTTGTGCATACTGCTTATATTAGCACAATACTGTTCATCAAGATAAATAAGAGCAGATGATGAGTTTCAAGGTTCAGGCTGGAATTATAGGTAGAGCATCTGAGTGTGTTGAAATACACACCATTACTTGTATACTGGCAATGGCCTCAAAGGTCTCTGTATTAGACTGAGAAGAATGTAATTTACATCTTTATCAAGGAAAATAACCACCTACAGTATTCAGATCATTATTTAAAGCAATAATGAAAAAGTCAGCTAAGGAAATGCCTTGCTTCAAAGCCTTTGTGTGACCTTTCTTCTCTAATAGAACAGAACTAGCAAAGCTGGTAAGTGCTATAAAACTGTTTTAAAAATTATTTTTTTAGTCAGTGCTTTAAAATAATCATTCCAGAGACATGGATAAGAGTGGAGATGCCAGATAAAACTAACAAATAGTGGAAGACAATATAATAAAGTTTCATTTAAGTAAGATACAACTACAGTGAAGATTTACAAATCACTTCTGTAAGTGACACAGAGTGAACGTCTCCTACCTGCTCAGCATGTCTGAGAGGATATCCAGTGCCTCCAGCTGTATGGACACATCCTCTGTTTTCCCGATGGTTGATGTCAGCTGTGTTGTTATTTTCTTACACACATTTGCTGTCAGAGCAGACCCTGAAAAATGTAGTATTATTTTTACAGATTCCATCACTGTACGTTTTTGGAGTAAAATGTTAACTGTTTGGTTTTAGATTTTTAAATTTTAAGATTAATTTACTTGATAACGAGCAGTGGATTTTCAAAATTACAATTTCAAATTGTTCACTTGGAAGTTCATCATTATCCATGGCATCTTGGGTATGCAAACATCTCTATGAAATCTCCAACCCCAGTCCTTATACCTGCAGTAACACTCACCCTAACACAGTTAGTTTTTGGTGAAATCCATGACATCAGGATGAACAGCAGATGGCTGAAAGAATCAATACCTTCATTATAGCTGATCGTAATAAGATCATGAAATCTCTTACCACTGGAGGATGGAGGAAGCTCAGCAATGACTGTTTTCAGGCCCATACTTGAAGTGTCTCGTAGTTGCTCTTTATCTGAAAGCATGTTGGAACACAGCGTGTCCACAATGGTCTCCACCTGGTATTCTTTCACCTTACTCACCAGTGGGCCCAAGCTTAAACACGCAAAACAAAGAACAGAAAAATCAACAGTAACAGCTGTCTGTTCATTGCAAACATTTTTTTTCTGTGTGATACACTGGTTTAATTTATCCTGAATGTGATATATGCCCTTGACGTTTTTAGAATTTGCTCCAGTTTAATATTTAGTCCAACTATTGTTTCTTAGGAAAATTAACACAACTCTTTTCAATGACCGCTTTCTCTCTTGTTAGATTTGCACCTTGACTGTTTACATGCGTTTCAGAAAGTCAGCTCTGGAGCAAAAACCTCTTTGAAAATCACACTGAATGTCGGTTGTTTATAATTCCCTGTCAGCGGTATGGGATTTAAAGGATTGTGGATACTTATTAAGCTCACTCACCATTTGACTGCAAGGTTCTGAACCTCTCCATTCTTATCTTCCAGCAGCCTCAGGAGCATCGCAACCACCTTCTTCTCACTGTCTTCATCTAGCTTGATGGAGTCTTTCTGGAGCTCCATCATCAAGTCATTGGTGGCCATGAATCTGAAAGCAGATACCCACCACTGTCATAATCAGCACCACTGCTATTCCAACAGGCCCCTGACACTTTCTTCTGAGATGTCCAGACCTCCGAGGGGCGAAATCCAAAAAGCAGAAAGGGAGGGTTTGAGTGAGGTGATGGGTGTTACACTGTTCACAGGGGTAACAGCAGTGATGTCCACACGCAGCTCTGCATAACCTAAATCACGTCATCATTGTCTCAACAGAAAATATATCAATCTCACCCATCTCTTCAGATGATGAAGCTTTCAAAAGACCTGCAAAACCTGCAGACACCCTCGCCTTCTATGACCAGGATTATAGAAACATTGGGGAGTCCTTTTATCTAAAGCAGTCATAGAAATCTCATAGTTCTCACTTCTCCAATGATCTACTGTGTAAGTGACTTCTTCTGCATAATGACTAATACAAGTCACCCAGCTGGCTGCTTTACACCAGTGGTGGGTTAAGTGGGTTTCCTTCTTCATGTAATACACTTTGGGATTCTTTATATTTAAAAGTAGTAGAAAAATTCAATGAATCATTATTATTGATGTTGTAAATGGTTTATATGTCTGCTAATACTCTGTTTATAAACCGTTGGCAAGGGTTCTGAACTGTCTTCAGTAATGAATATAAATAATGAATACACAAGAAGAAGAAATATATTTCAAGAAAACAAAATGCATGAAGGATTTTATCCTTTGTATGAAACAACTGTCATCTAAATTAGATGTGGAATTAGAGACCACATAATACCAGTCACTCTGACATTAAAATATTTTTTACAACTATCCATTTCCATAAACCAATGTTGTATGTTTATTTTTCAAGTTAATTAATTTTACTCCAGGCAAAAAGTTTAGTACCACATAATATTCATATAAAATTTCCTGACGTTTAAAAAATATTATGGCTAATAATCCCACACACTTAAATCCATCTTAAAATGTGAGTATGGACTGAAGCAAAATTTAAGACGCTCAGCTGACAGACATTTCCAATGTCATTTCACCTTTAATTTAGCTATGCTCTAGGTTGCATTAAAACATGCAAACTAATACAGTCTTACCTAAAATCTTTATCAGTAGATGTCATTTTCTCCAGTAGGTTGGAGATATGATAAGTCACACTGGCCATCTTTTGAGTTTACCTTTGAAACTTGTATTCACTCTACAATCTTTTAAGTAAGTATAGCAGAAATTTCTTTTAGTTTACATGGAGAACATGGCGAGGGAGAGACAAGAGTGACGCTTCAGGGTAAGAACAAACTGGAAAACCTGATACTCGGCACGCAGCGATATAAATAGCTTACAAATTGACTCGCTACTAGCACCGCCAAGTGGTATTAACGCCTATTGCAAGAAAGTCATACTTTTTAGAACTCACAGTACGGTCCTGTCTTCCAGGTAGTGTTTTAGTTTTACGTCACCTTTTAATTAAAAAAGAAAATTTACTATGGTTATTTACGATTATTTGTCTATGTAATAATATAGGTAATATGTATGGCTCTCTTGACATAATGGGTTTGTTTTAGTAATTAAAAACAATTGTTCGCCCCTTTACGTTGGAAGGAAATACTTGGTCATGTTTGTATTTGACGATAAAATGTATTGCAAGAACTGTGATAATGCCACTTGTGTTAAATGTGAAATTACGCCATGTAGACTGCGAACTTTGTAAACAGAGTATCAATGTTTGCTCGGAACTCTGTATCGTCGCTCCTTGTTGTAGCCCGACAGAAGGAGTGGGGATGCTCCCGGAAGTGGAGTTGAGTTAGAGAAGAAGTGGAGTTGCCACGTCTAAGAGAGGAAAACGGCTGGAGCGGGAGACAAAATTGACTAAACGAGATATTATAAATCCAATTTATTAATTGTTTTTAATAAGAGCGGTCATTTTAACAGTAGTCAGCACAAATATGGTGAGTAAATCTATTTTTAATCCTTGGTAGAAGTCTCATGATGGCGATTGCATTTAAAGTTTTTGATCGGTTTGCAGAATGTATCTCATTCATTGAAAAAAATGCTTGATTTTACACTTACGGTTATAGCTTCAATAACAGTTGAAGCAATATCTAGATTTCTGAAGCACGTTTAAAGACGAGGATGAATGTCATAAATCGTTGATTTACGAAACGCCAATCGCCACGTCTAAACGTAGATGTTGGACTTTGAGATAACAGGCGCCTAAGGTTTGGAAAAACTGCCGACCTGTGATTGTAGAGACATTCCTGTATTGATTTATGTTTTCAGTAATTAGTAAACAAAATATTGAAAACAATACATAGCAGTATTGCGTGCAGTCGCTTTATAAATTTGCACGGCGTCTTTAGAGTCATATTGTTGTTTTTGCCTAGTTGCTAGCTTTGTTCATTAGGAACCACAGTTTAATATACTAAAAAAAAAGGTTTGGTTTCATAAGTAACCTCTACATTGTAATATTAATAGTTATGCAATTTTCCCTCTTAGGTTTCAGTTATAAATACTGTGGACACGTCCCATGATGACATGATCGTGAGTATTACTGCTTTTCGTAATTATGTGAAATGCTAAATAACCACTGTTGTGTGTTTAGTTGAGCGGTTTGAGATCGCTGAAGAATGCAGTTTCGTTATACTTCGTTAAAAAGTCCTCTATTAGTTATTGTCTGTTGTTAGTTGTTAAAAGTTTCTACTGTACTATACTTTTTTGTCAAGCAGCCAGGAATTGAAGGTGTCCAGCTGTTTTATGTTTCAGAATTTCAGCACTTGGACACTACCTGACCCTGTCTGCCCTTATCTTCTTTGCCATGTAATTTTTTCTCTTGCCAGCATGATGCTCAGATGGACTATTATGGTACCCAGTTGGCTACTTGCTCGTCCGATAGGTCTGTAAAAATATTTGATGTGAAAAACGGAGGTCAGATCCTGGTTGCCGATTTGAGAGGGTAAGTTCTGGGATGGTTTTCTCACCGTTACTAGTTCAGTGGTATTTTTCAGACAAGTATTTTGCTTCTTGGGAGATTTATTCCCAGAGGAGTCAGGTAGTGTCTGTTCTTAATCATCTGTTTTATCCTTTACATGAGGCAACCACGCACAATCCTTAAAGAGGCTGTGCTCCTGGGTGTAATTAGGTGGCGCTCACTCCTATGCCATGTGCCTCACTTGTGTTTTGATTGTGTAAATGGTTATTTTGTAGCTGTAAACTTCTATCCTTTCATGGAAACATTTGAGAACCTCTTTTGTTAGTTTTTTTTTTTACATTTCTGCTGATTATGAAAATATAATAATACTGAAGCATTTTGTCCTTACTTTCCTACAGTCACGAAGGGCCAGTCTGGCAAGTGGCCTGGGCTCATCCAATGTACGGGAACATTTTAGCGTCCTGTTCCTATGACAAGAAGGTGATCATATGGAAAGAGGAGAACGGCACATGGGACAAGATGTATGAGTACACAGGCCATGAATCTTCAGGTAGACAGACTAACTGACAGGCTATTGCTGCATTTCACCTTTTTGCGGACCATTTTAGTTTTTTTTCTATTTGCTGTCCAGCACTTGGGGTATTTTTCTTAAGTTAATGATAACTTCATATCACCTTTTTGTAAGGCAATATAACCATTGCCACAAATAGGCCAGACGATTACACCAATATCTTTTCCCTGTTTTAGCTTTTGAACGTTACCTTTGATTTCAGTCTTTACTTGTGAACGACAGAGACAAGATAACAGGTTGAAGTATAAGGCAATTCTCGTTCTGCATGCACAGTGGCAGAAAAGTGGAATTTACATCAAGCACGAACTTGAAATGTTTGTACATTTGTCTACAGAAGAAGAAAAACATGATTTTACATTGTACACATGCTAAATTTCTACCAGTACCTTAACAGGATAATCGCCACTTGTATTAGCAAAATGAACCAAAAAAGAGACCTTTGAAGTAATATTGAATAAGCTAACTTTAATTAAAATGGGTTAGTCTTGACAATGGATCTTTAGTGCCCTAAATACTGTTATTGATCTTTGGTAATGTCTTAAATGTCGAGTAATTAAAAGACTTGAAGGTTCTATTATGAAAATAAGATAAGGGAGATGTAATAAAAGCATGTGTGTATAAAGTGGTTGCATCTCAGTAAGTACTTGTGGTGCATGGTTGCCTTCTAAAAGCTGCCCTGTGTCTCTGTCTCGTACTTGAAGTAAACTCGGTGTGCTGGGGGCCCTATGACTTCGGACTGATTCTTGCCTGTGGCAGCTCAGATGGTGCAATATCGCTGCTCACTTACTCCGGGGATGGGCAATGGGACGTCAAGAAGATCAGTAACGCACACACTGTAAGGGGCCTTTAATTTGACTTTTAAGTCATTTTTTTCTCAATCTTAAGTGTCACTTGGTTAAAGGTTGTGAGTCCATAAGATCATCAAAGAATGTTTAGCTCTTTCCTTAAAGAACAACAATGAAAACAATAAAAGAAAGCTCAGCTTATAAAATTTTGTTTGTGTAAAATTGCATTTAATAGTAATTGCAGTAGCTTGATCAACAGCATATATATATATATGAAATTATATATAAAATAATTCAAACAGTGTAAATGCCAGAATAAACTTGCAAAATAAACAATATTTGGCACTTATTTTCTCTCTCTAAGATTGTAAGAATTATAGTACATTATCAACTCAGTGGCCCATACCAAACATAGTGGATTAAAAAGCTGCATATGGACATTTTTATAGAATGGAGTATGGTTTTGTAATGTTAATTGTTCTTGTTTTGTTGCTTCTAAGAGTGCTTAGTACTGAAATAACTGGAAATGTGAAATATCAAGTTTGAATCATTGAAATGATTTACAGTTTGTCTTCCATTGTGTGAAATTCATAAACTGGTGGTTGATGTTCAGCATTGTTGAACCTGAGAAGTTTAATGTTTTTTGAGATTCATTTCATTGTGGATTAACTGAAAACATTTTAAAACGAAACTAATGAATATAACTGTCATTAGTTAACTATATATCTGTCAACATGGAACTTTCTTTTACATTTTCTATATGTGTTATACGTATGTCTAAAGCTAGTTATTTCCTTCTGTGTTGGGGCCTAATTCAGTAATGCTTAGCTTAAGATCTTAGGTGGGCTTTGTGTGCATTTTGCTTACTGTGTTTTGTTCTGAAGAAACTATGCTGATTTCCTTTTGTTCATCTCTGTTCCCTTTTACTGTTATAAAGGATTTTAAACACCTTCAGATGTGAATATGTGAACATCTAGCAACAGAAATATTAGCTGTGAATTGGACAGCACGGTTGGTGTAAAGCTTTTCGTGGCACGGAGCTGTGTGACAGATGTTTGTTTTTTGCAGATCGGCTGCAACGCAGTGAGCTGGGCTCCTGCTGTCGTGCCTGGTAGTCTCATCGACCAGCCGCTGGGACAGAAACCGAACCTCATTAAGAGATTTGTATCTGGAGGCTGTGACAACCTGGTCAAACTTTGGAAGTAAGTGTGGATGGGAGGAACACTGTTTTTTACTGATTAACCTTCATCACCTGAAAAAGATTCTCATCCCCATGAAGTTCAATGATTAATTTTTACAGTAGTGAACAACAGGTTTGCGGGTTTTTCTGGGACAGACACTTATTTTAGAATAAAGTGCTTTTAAGATATTCTGGTTATTTCAGCTGTGCAGCACAGTAGTTGTATTTCCCATATTTATTCCCTAATATCTCTGAAGATGGTTTGTAACCTGGATGTCTTGCTGTTCTAGAGAGGAGGATGGGCAGTGGAAGGAGGATCAGAAACTAGAAGCTCACAGTGATTGGGTGAGAGATGTGGGCTGGGCCCCTTCGATAGGCCTTCCCACCAGCACCATTGCCAGCTGTTCACAGGTACCTTCTCTCCATAACACCTTAATCAACTTCTCTTTGTCCAGTTTGAAGTTTGCTGATGTCACTTTCTCCGTGGTAAGGGTGTCCCTAGCGATGACTTGTTGGAGCAGGCTGACTGAGGGTGAAGTTTGTCTGACAATCTGCAGTATCAGTAGATGCTTTGTCCACCTTCTGTTGACACTTATGGTCTTCTCTCTTTCTGTTTGGGGCCACAGTTGTGAAACGGGCAGGACTTAAGATTAAGCCATTTTAAGCCTGACTAAAATAAAGACAGGCTAAAAGTTCCATGGAGTTTTATCCTCTTATCATGATGCAGTTTTGTTTAAATCTTTTGCAAGGATCGCATTTATCATTAACGCACATTTAGACACTAAGATTGCCATTGTGAATAGGGTACCCTAGCCCCTCGAGTTATCTCAACAGCAGTGACACTCGACTAACTGTGTGCCACTGCTCGGAAGTAGACTACAGTTGTCAACATTTAGTTCATACTAGTCCCTTTACAGATTGAGCTGCTTATTGTATTTCTTACAGGTTTTTACACGTTCAAAGAGGGGGATAAAATTGTTTTAAATCAAGGATTTTAGAGCTCTGAATAAGCATTGATCACAGTTCAACCTTTACAGATGGTGGTGATATATTTGTTTTCATTTTGCATTGTGCTAAGAACGGTTCTAATTGGTCTCATGATTTTAATGGTGGAATTTATGGATTGGGAAAAGGTATGTGTTTAAAAGTGATGTTTTTGAATGCATGTTTTTTTTAAACCCCCTTCTGCTGGATACTGATTCTGTCTGGATCCACTTAGGATGGCAGGGTCTTCATCTGGACATGCGATGATCCTTCAGGAAACGCCTGGACAGCCAAGCTTCTTCATAAGTTCAATGACGTGGTGTGGCACGTGAGCTGGTCCATCACAGGAAATATCTTGGCGGTGTCAGGAGGAGACAATAAGGTGAGATTTGAACAAAAGTCTTTTATGAGCACAGAAATGTTTGAATAACCTTCCTAGCAGAGAGACATAAAATTTTGTGTTGTATTTAATGCTAGTGCTATTTTCTCTTCCTAGTCCTGGTGTTGTTAAATGCTTGAGCACCCTGGCCAAGAAATAAAGGACTAATTACAAGGTGTTTCTATTCATCAGTCAGGATGATTTTATTGATCTAAAAATGTCTATGAAAGCAGCATTGCAGTTAATTGTGATGCAGTACAGTAATTCATTTGACCAGACATTCACATTTGTTTTTTTCGGTCTTGCCTACTTTCGTAAGTGGCAAAACATACCTCAGCAGCTTTAGATACTTCTGAGCATTGTCAAAACCGTTCCAGGAGTTATGCCAGATTCTCTTTTCCGTCAGAATGATGGAATGATTGTGAAAGAGTAATTGATTCTGAAAGTGTACATGGCCAAATAAAAACAAAGAGCTTTCCAATAAGGCTTGGGATAGTGTGAAGTGTCGGAGCATATTTAATATATCTGTCACCTTTGCCACTTTCAATGGGGAATAGGAGAGACTGATAATAACTAATATTACTTCTGGCATTAAGCCTGGCATATAGTTAAGAAGCAAAAGGCAAGTCCTTAGATTTATGGAAGACATCCCAGTCTTACTTTAGCTTGGTCTCCATTATAACTGAGAATAAAAAAAATGTTAATTGAATTCTAAACCATTATAAAAAATTACATTATCTATTGGTCCGCAATAGTTTTGTTACAAACATCCAATTAATCAACTGCAGATAAATATATATAGTAAATTAATAAAGCACTCATGAATGCCAATTTGTTATTTTTACAGTGTTACTGACATCACTTCTTATTTGATGAAGGAATACAATTAATGTGGTACATTAATCTTTCAAATTGTGTTTAACTGAGAATAGTGTTTCTTAATGTTTGGAGTAATTTCCCTCTTTGGAAATAGATTGCAGGAACTTTTTGTATATGTAGTAATAGTTATGTTTTCCACTTCATAAAATTTCCAAAAGGAAATACTTTC